GACAATCACCCTGAAAAAGATTTCTCTGTACGATTATTAAGAACAAGTATCAACTTGATAACATAAGATAACATAACATAATTGTGTATACTGCACTATAATATAATCATAGTGTGACAGAATAAAAGGTGAGGTATCCCATGTTAAATTTACAGAACAGTAACATACCTGCTTTTATTCGGAATCAACCCTTTCTCTAATTCACTGTCAATTCTCACTGCCAACCAATGGCCCAGCTTCCCATCATACAGTGTATCAACTACTCGGAAGACATCACCCCTGGTGAAAGCCAAGCTATGTGGAGTTTCTTTTTCACATTCAAAGTGGGTCCTTATAAAGAAAGAATCGCCTCTACCACAAGCCATTATGTCTCTATAAACTGGGGAGGGGGGGGAGAAGGAAGGAAGAGACACAAGAAAGACCTTAATTATTATTATTTCCTTCCATCAAATAAACACCTAAGAGCCATAGATATAGAAGAAAAGAAAATACTTGTCAGGTTTCGATGTCGTCTCAAATAAAATAAATTGCATTTCCAAACAGATCGTCTTTGAAGAAATCTTTCATTTTATTAAGCACGACAACCTGTCCCCGATCGTGGCGTAGCCAACTCTGACTTCCTGACCCCAAACCTTCCCTTTCCGTTCCCCAATTCTCTGCGTCTCATTGTCCCTCTTCCAAATCACTCTCCCCATATCTACTACTTAAGCTCCCAGGAATGTCCCCCCTCCCATCTCATCTCCTAGGGGATATTATCTTCAGGGAAAATCAGTAGGTGAGAAGTCAGGTGTCCTCTTGCCAGCTGCCCCCTCTTCTCCTTCTTATGTCAGCACTAGAGTAAATGCAGGTTGAAGTGCTGACAATACTTTTATATCATTTTTCACACAAGACACTATTTTTTTTCCATATATTACACAGAAATCAATTTCTGAATTTCAACATGCTGTATCCTACCACCAATGGCTCATATTTTAAAAGGAATCATATATATTAGCAGATGTTTTCCGTAAATTTATAATAGCAATAGTTTAAACAAAGAAGTTGGTCTTGCTAACTTTTGTCTGTGGAATAATAAAATGTTTTTGATCACTGGATATTTTTGTCGTTTCAAAAATTGGAGATATCTCTTTTTAGCACCAAGGTAAATAATACTTTTAACAACTATGCAAATTAACAAAGAATCACTTAGCTATCTTAAAAACTTGGAAGTTTATCAGAAAACTTACATTATTGTAACTAATAAACATTAGTTTAGAATATGATAAACATCAGTAGATATAAACAGAACAAAAGATGAAACAAGAAAATATATTAAAATATATTAAATATATTAAAGCAGCACATTATAAACATGCTATACTTTTACAAATTACATATTCATACATACCATCATATTTGCTCTGAGCCAAAATTGTCACAGTATCACCTTTAGGAATTTCTAGTAGGTACAGAACAGCATCCTCTCGAATAATACCTCTAAAGTCTTGACTGTTTACCTGGTGCAAAGGAACCATACACAGCTTTAGTATTTCTTTCAGGTTTTTTTATATACTGCAATTTTAGGTAACCATAGGATACTTTTTAGTGGTTTATGTTTTACATTACTGCAGCTTTCAGTAACCAGGTTATGAGAATTACATCTGTAAGGCACAAGATTGAAAAAGCCTACAGAAAAATAGAGAATTTACCTGAGTGATTTCACATATTCCATTATAATATTGGAAATCACAATCAATGTTATTCAGCATGCTTTCCTTAAAAACAAAGTCTTACATTTAAGCTAGGTTATTCAGAAATACTGACATTAATCAATAGATTATAATCTGTTAATTATAATAGAGAGCACAGAAACGCAAGGGAATTTTTGTGACAAGGGGATTTTTTTTCTTTCATAAGAAAATTGAAAGAAATAAAATAAATATTTATCTCAACCATACCACTAAACAGATTTCCTAAAAGTCAATTTCATAATTATAAATATCAGGGATATTTTTTTTCAGTTAAGTTGCTTAAAATAATATATTTTAAATGGAAAATAATTAGGCATGCAAACCTTAAGAATTTGATCTCCCTCCTGCAGGCCTTCCTGTTCTGCTGAGGTCCCTTCTTGAATTCCAGCAACAAATATTCCTACATCATTCCCACCAGCCAACCGGAGACCCACACTATCTCCTTTCCTGAACTGCACCATTTTTGTATCGGGACTTAAAAAGAGAAAACAATGGGTATTATTTATTTCAATTTAAAATATAATAGGCTATAAATAATTTCCATAGCAGTGTTTCTCACTCTTAGCAAGTTTAAGATATATGGGTTTCAACTCCCAGAATTCACAAGGGGAAGGTGTAGTGGTTAGAGTGCTGCCTTTGACACGGTAGACTAGAGGTCAACTCCCAGCTGGTACTTACCTTACCAGTAGGGGTTCTTGGGCAAAAGCCCTAATGCTTCACCTGCCTACCTCGGATATGAGTGACACAAACTTAAAAGAGTCATGTTGGTTCAGACATCACCCAGGTTAACGAAGTCTGCATCAGATGTTGGGAGCCAAAACAATCTGACAAATGGGCTACTGGAACAAACTAAGGATGAGATAAGAGACTCTGGAATTGATGAAATGCTACTACAACATTAGTCCTAATGAGAGGGGATATGAAATGTGTGAGGGAACTATGAATGGACAGAAAACCAACATCCACACTAACTGAGAAGCAGCTAATAACCCAATGCTTCAACATAGCAAAGAGGAATCTGTTCTCACAACTTCAGGTAGACCAACTACACATCATTTGTGAATCACAAAGACCCAGAAGATGCATCCAAGACCTGAAGATGAAATAACAATGCCACCCTCTGCATTAGAGAGCATGGCAATTGATGTGAGGCATAGAATCATGGATAAACTAGCAACAGTCAACCCTCAAGCATTTACCGGTAAACAGAAACTTTTGCACAGTACATGGGCCAGACCCTCCCGAATCTAGGTGGCAGATTCCACAGATCATGGAGAATAAGAAGCTAAGATCATGTGGAACTTCCAGATCCAGAACGACAAACAAGTACTGGCCAATCAACCAGACACTGTGATAGTAGATAAGGACCAGAAGACAGTGGAAGTAATAGATAGATACTGAATGATACAGCAACAATAGGAAAAAGGAGTATGAGAAACTGGAGAAGTGGCCTCAAGGAGGAAGTAGAGAAGATGTGGAAACTAAAGGCCAAAGTAGTCCCAGGAGTGATCCCACTGCTGGTTCCAAGAGTGGTCCCACTCCTACCCAGTAGTGGAAGAAGCACTTGGGGCTATGACTCCTAAGCTTGGAGAATAGTTTCAACAGATTCCAGGAACATCAGAGCTCTCTGTACAAAAGAATGCAATGCTAGGAACAGCTAAGATTCTCAAACTCCCAGGGCTCCCTCTGGTAAAAGATCCAAGATTAAGAAAGACACATATCACCCATAGGAATGAGGAAGGATTTTTTTAAAAATTTATATTCCTTCCACTCTAATCCTCCTTCAAGTTTGAAACTCCTGTTCTGATTGCAGAATCACTTGTTTCAATCTTACTAGAAACATTCTGACCTAACCAGAAGCATTTTAATCATATTTAGAGCTGTTTTGAGTTTAGTGTAATCAGAAGAGTTTTAAAACACTTCACTTCCGATGAAATTAGAACTGCCATTTTATTCTTGAAATAGGGTATTTAGAGCTCAAATGTTTTAGTTTGATTTTGCATATTAGTACATGACAAGATGTACTGAAAGTAGTATTACATCTGTCTTTGTATGAATATCATTTTGGCAATGCCAAATTGTGTTTTGTTTAATAAAACATTTTTTCCATTATTACAATTATTTAAAACAGCAAGGTTTATAATAAATCAAAACAATAGTCATAAAAGTTAAAAATTCATACCCATATATTGCTTGGTCCTCAGGACTTGGCTGAAGAAATATTTTTGTTGCTGGTTTTGAATGTACAACTGCATATATATAAATTAAAAAATAAACAAACTTAAGAATCTGCTTCTACTTTAGTCCTCAATAGTAAAAAACAATATATAAGATATTCAGTACATTTTACTTAAAATAATTAGTATTAATATCTGTGTCTTTGCTCCTAGTAAATATAGAATATGTAAGGTAACGTACACTATAGCTGAACTTTTATTTATTAAGTATGCAATTCCACAAAATTGAATACTTTTTCTATTTGCAGTAATTTCTAAAGATGCAGCAAAATCATAATCCTGTAGCACATCAAAAGAAAATTTATGGCACCCATCCCATATTTTTATTCAACCTCTAATATTATATGCCTTAACATCTCAAAGGAAATCTCAAAAATATATTCTATTCTACTATAAACCACTATATAAATTGGTTTGCATATTAGACTAAGACATTTTTATTAGACTAAGACATTTTAACCAGTTTATTTTGATAAAGCACAATTGACTGAATTTATAGACTATAATAAGGCAAAAATAAATTATATTTTGGCTTAACATAATGTGTGTACTCGATCAATATTAATTTTACTTAATGCTCTTTTGCTTTAATAATAACTTTTTCCAGGTGTGAAATGCTCCTGGATCAGACCGGATTGCCCGGTCCAGTAGCGATCTTGGCTGGTGGTTCGGCGATCTGGTAGCAGTGGTGGGTTGCCTCCGGTTCGCACTGATTCTATCAAACCAGTAGTAAAACCGGCGGGAGGCTCTGCCCACCAACCCCAACATCATCAGAATCCTTCTGCACATGCGCAGAAGCTTCTGTGCTTGTGCAGAAGAGTGCATACGTGCGCGAGCGAAGCAAGCGCGTATGTACGGCCCCGTTGTGAACCGGTAGTAAAGGTAAGTAGAACCCACCTGTCCGGTAGCGATGGCGGAGCAAAGCTCCACCCACCCGCCCGTCATTACTTCCTGGTTTTAACCAGGAAGTAATGTGTTTTTTACCTTCTGCGCATTCACAGAAGGTCTGCGCGCGCACCTGCGTGTGCTTTCGAACCGGTAAGGAAAGTAAGTAGATTTCACTCCTGACTTTTTCCCTCCATTTACAGACTGTTTCTTCTACAAATTTCTACGATGGGTCACCTGGAGCATTTCACCCCTGGAGCCACTGCCATAAGCCACCCAGAGTCTTTTGGGGTGCGTTATCATAGGTAACTATGATAATGATAAAAATAGCACAATAGAAATAAATACACTAAAAATGATCTGATTGGTTGTGGCTTTTTGCACTGAAGGACTCCAACTTATGAGAGTAGCTTAGAGGGTTCAACTGCCTGAAGCAGGAGAAAAGTGGACTCCTATTATTCAATTTTACGCAATTTGATTAGTGATTCATAGTATTATTCAATACTACATAATGGAAACCAGGATGCCTTGTTACTGAATCCAAAGGAACTCAAAAGAAAGCAGCACTAACCTGGCAGATCATCTTGGTATTTCACGTGACTATTTGTCTCTGGTATTAAAGCAGCTGTGGAATCCACAGTTGATCGAAAAGGGGTGGGCATTGCTCCCATCTTGGAAAGTCTATTGGTTGGGTCTTCTTTTGCACTTAATACAAAAATCAGACACTGTTAAGAACAAATCAAAGATTTTGTGTCATAACAAAAAGTAAATGACAGTACGGTATACATTTCACCTCAATTTTTCCTTTAGCTTTTCATTTGAAGAATGGTACTCCACATCAGAGTGATGCAGTCTTCTGTCATCCTGAGGTGAGCAAGATCTGTTGGACTCTATTTCTGAAATATCTGTTGGGAGAACATAGTGCAGAGTCTGGAAAAGTTACCGCCGTCTGTAATTTTAATGTTTGTTGACGTGCATGCATAATAAAAGGCTTTCTTCTTTTAAGCATGACAGCAAAAAATACTTACTGAAATTAAAGAAAGCTGATGTTATGAGGTAGTCCTACTAGGAAACCAAACACTCCAGGCAGAAAATTAAACCATTGTAACTTTGCTTACCAAACAGATCTAAATTTAGGATAGAGATTTTTTAGCTTTTCTTTGAAAGATGTCATTCAATAAGCCTCATTCAGATGAAGCCTTTGAAAAAATAGTAGCATCAGATAATCTGTGGCAATCCTTAGGGCTGGCATAAAAATTATGACCAATCACTTGAAAGCCGCTGTAGTAGTAGCTTCCGGGGAAATGGAAATATCCAGATTGTCACTTCTTATTGTGTAGTTATCTTGGAAGTCACTAGAGCAGTAAGGCAGCATTCTTCTCTTGAAGCCTTAGGCCAAAATAGATATCTATCTCTTGATATTCTGGGACATATCCAAAGACAGGGAGAGGAAGTAAGGTCCTTTCAAGTATGCACAATCCGGGGATATATGCCACACATGGCCCCTAGCACTGTTTTGACCCAGAAATCAGGATTATGGAGGATTAAGGAGAAAGGTTTATATTCTAAACTTTATAGCAGTCACCTGGCACCTTAAAGCACTTGATTTCCTTTAAACTTTAAGGCAGTGGTATCCAACCTTTCCAGCTCTGCAGACCAGTGCCAGTGATGGCGGCAGGCAGAGGAGAGATGGTTCAGCGCTAATAGAGCTTTGCGCACGAGCGTGCACACCCACTGCTTGCGCAACTGGAGTTTCATGCACTGACCCGCTTGCCCGCCGCTTGTAGGGCTCAGTTCCTAATGGGGCATGGCCCAGAGGTTGGGGTCCCCTGCTTTAAGGCATTCCTTTTGCTTTAAAGCCCATCAAAAGCGAATTAAACTTGATAAATCTCCATCCGTTATGCAAACATAATAATGTCACCAGTCTTCTTTTCTCTCAGAGGTCCTCTGAGGCCAAACAAATTATAAGGATGACCTCAGAACTGGGAAGAAAATATTTCCTGTCACCAGAAGCAACCTTAGATTTTTTTTTTTTTAGCCCTGCTTTCGAAACATATGGAAAGGAGCTATCCACTTCAAGATTCCAGCTTTTTTAGGAAAACTGGGTAAGGTACGCCTGATATTGTTTGCCTGAGCCATGAATTCCTGCCAACAATTATGAGCATTTACTGCATATGTGAATATGGAAGAAAACTGATATCTATGAAATAGCATGGGATAGACAATAGCCTTATTTAGAGGTATTTGCCTCCCCAGTATCAGGGACAGAAGCTATGAACAACATGGAAAAATAGAACGTGATATGAAACATATCTGTTCTATAGCCGATTCCTGCAGGGCTCATTATTGTCTTAGCTTGAGGCCCAGAAACTTGCTCACATCCCATGCCTCAAAAATCTGGTCATGATTAAGAGATTGCTGTTGTTTTTCCACACAACAAACACAAAGATTTTGCATATGGACATACTTTTAGATCTATTTAGGATGCAACGTTCTACACATAGAAGTTGCTTATAGCTCTTTTGAAAACCATTAAAATATTTTTAACAGCTTAAAAAGTGTATTTGGCTTTGTTTTCAACCTCTTACCTTCCATTTCTGACTCGCTGTCCTGCATGGTAGGAATGTTAATTAGAGTTTGTCTTCTGTCTCTCATAACAACCAACTGGAGTTTTCCTCTTGATTTCTCAATCAGTTTTCTAGCATCTGATAAGGACAGATTCTCCGTCACTGTACCATTGATCTGAATGTGTAAAACAAGCAGATTGATTTATATCTGAAGTTCAAAGAGTTTCCACCCAGTATTTGCAAACAGGCAATTAAAACAACAAGGTTATATGTTTTTACATCCCCACTAAGAAATTAATGTTTGTTTGTACAATCACATACTTTGAGAATGATGTCCCCTTCATGCAAATTGCCATCCTTTGTTGCCAGGCCAGTACTAGTCATTTCTTTGATAAAAATCTGACTTCCAAGCCGCAGGCCATATTCTGCAAGAAGAATAGGAAGACAGAGTTTTGCAATTTATCGAATAAACATATTGCATACTAGCAATTTCCAACTTTTGTTTTTAAGAAGGATCTATCAGTTTTTTGACCAGAAGCTTTTTGTTCTTGCAATTTCCACATTTTAGACTGAGGGTGTAACTTATGATCTATAAATCAAAGATAGTCTACAAGTTAAATTTGGCTATTCTGGGACTCACAAAGAGGTTAACTATCATAATTCAAGCAGGCACCAGATAGAGTTGGTAGATTATACTCAAAAAACAATTTGCATAGGCACAGTTTACTGGATAGTATGTTATGAACTTTCAACATTGCAATGATCTAGTATATATTGAAATTCAGACAGAATTTCAATGGGATTGTATCACTAGATCATCTAATCTAATTTTCTAATGCAGGAGAATACATTCCATCCAGCCTTTGTTGAAAAGTATTTGATGAACAAAAGATAGTTTGCCTATTCAGATTGTTTATTCCATTATCAACTGTTTCTATTATCAGAACCATCTTTCTCACAGTTGGTTACATGCATTTTCTTGTAAATGTGAATCTACAATACAGTTCTTTATCTCTCCAAAGTACAGAGAATAAATTTATATGGCAGTTATTTCATGTTTCTGATGATGATTATCATACTGCCTCTAAATTATCTTTTTATCTTTTCTTTAGGCATTTTCAACCTTTCCACCTAAGAACTTGACTTCTCAGTGCTTCTGGATTCCAAAGATAACTGGATGGCTACTTAAGGGACAGTCTCTGATTTCAAGACACTATTTATTCCATATAATCTGAGAAAAATTATGTACAAGAGTTTCTCTCTCTCCCTCTCTTTAAATATAGCATGCTAAATTCAATTTTGCTTCATTCAGAATTTGAACTTTTTTTGCAGATTTATGAATATATCCCCAGGATGCATCCAAAAAGAGATATTAAGCAAACAAATCTCAACCTATTAATAACATAAAAGGTGGCAGGTTTTCTTATATTCCACTTTATTGTGGAAATAATTTATTTTGAGACTGATCTATCCAAACTAGCAATGCAAGCGAAGCGAAGCGAAGCGAAGCGAAGCGAAGCGAAGCGAAGCAAAGCAAAGCAAAGCAAAGCAAAGCAAAGCAAAGCAAAGCAAAACATGTCTCCTCCTTTATGGTTAGAAATATTTCTAAGTCTCAAAGGGGAAAGTTAAATATCTATCCGATATCTCTTTATTCATTTATGTAAACACATGTGCCAATTAAAGTTTAAAATACGTAGGCACTTTACAATAATTTAACGCTAATGAATGAATATCCTATATCCTGGAAATCTCTACATTTTCGGAATCAGGGAGCACATTTGGAAATTTGAGAGCCCAATATGGGCCTTCAGGTAAAATGGTTGCAGGATCGGATATAGCTGATTAAAGATCACTGGCCAGCAGCTATCCACTGTTTTATTTTCTACAAAAATATTTAGGGTCATATCTACAAATGACTCACAGACATTGCTGGAAATCATGACTGAGGTCTACTCTGTACCATGCTAAATTCCTATAAAATTAGGTAGAGGAAGAACAAGGAACACATCACCAGGCACACTACTGCCCCCCACTGGCAATTCCTACATGGTGCCCTCCAGATCCATATGCAACTACAACTTGGCAATATCTCTCTTTGTAAGTTACAGGTTGTCTTTTTTAGAAGAAGAAAAAATGGTAAAACATCAATTGGTTTTTGCATCAATGACAGTAAGACAACAAAACAAAAGGCAAGAGGACACATTTCTTCAACCTGTATTTTAGAACTTGCCTTCATTCGATTTGCTTTTTGTGAGAAGAATACTAACAGGCTCTTCCTGTGTTCTACAGTCGTATGGGTCAGAGGCAGGACTGTGGGTGCTCAGCCTATCTTTGCTACCACTCTTTGTTTCCCTCCCACGCTGAGGGTCAGGACGGGATTGCCAGTCATAATCTCTTGGTAGACTCCTGCCTCCATCATACCCATAATCATAGGTATCATATCGATCAACGCTCCGCCCTCTGCTTCGGGGCCGTTGGTATTCACGGTCCAAGCTTCTCTCTCTATCCATGCTACGGCCCCGGCTTCGATCTCGACTGGAGCTGCGTTCTCTGCTGTGGTTGCGCCCTTTATTGGGGGCCATTCTGTAGCCCCTGTCAAGATTGTCTCCCCAGCTCTGACTACGGCCTGCATTTCCGCTGTGCCAACTCCTTTCACTTCGAGTGCTTCGACCGTCAAACTCTGCCCGATCATCCACGGCTTCGAAAGCTCTGTAGTCGTAGTCAAGGGATGGACTTCGCTGAACTGCGGGGACTTGTACCTTACGTGGTCTTTTCACAACCTATTTACAGGATATAAGAACAAGGTTGCCTTTTTAAAAAGGAGTCAATCATTTTATATAGGTAGTCCTTGACTTACAAACATTTGCTTAATGACCATTAGAAGTTATGACAGTGCTGGAAAAAGTGACTTATGACTGGTTCTTGCATTTACAATGGCTACATTGTCCCCATAGTTGTGCGAACAAAATTTGGGTGGTTGGCAATTAGCATGTATTAATGAAGGATGCAGTGTCCCAGAGTCACATGATCTCCATTTGTGACTTCCCCAAGAGGCTTCTAACAAGCAAAGATGGGGGAAGCTGGATTCACATAATGATTACATGATTCATTTAACGACATGAGAAAAGGGTTATGAAATCAGGCCCGAATCACTTAATGACTGCATTGCTTAACGACAGATGTTCTGGCCCAAAGTCACTCATAAGGCTTTTATGCCTAAGGTAGGACTAGAACTCAGAGTTTCCTGGTTTCTAGGCCAGCACCTTAACCACTAGGCCAAACTGGCGTTCTCTCTGGTCTCTCTCTTTCACAAATAAATAATAATAAACTTACAATGACAGCAGTTTTCCCACTTTTTCTTAGTTGCTGCACAGCAAATGCATGGGCCACATTTTCCATGGGTGTGCCATTAACCATAATAACTCTGTCATTCTCTCTGGAAAAGAAGTGAATAATTATTTTTTTTAAAAAAAATAGGACCAAATTAATTCTATTCTGGTTGAAAACATGGGGATCTGCTAATTCTGCCACAACTGCAAGTGTCCATATAGGAAAAAACCTCATACAGCTGTTTAGTCCTGTACTACTCCCAGATTGTCCCCTTTGGCCTTTAATACCCAAGAAACACTATAGAGAAACAGTGTAAACGTTTCCCTGTTTTGGGCACGTGGACCTATAGCAGAATTGCACTGATCCTATTGGGTTTTGCTTACAAATATATACTTTCTACTGATAGAAAAGAATATTCACAGCTGAGTGTTGAATTATGGGATCCTTGGTATTCTCTGAGCTTGGTGGTTTTCTTGTAGATGTTTCATCATCAGCGCACCAATGATGTCACCTAGTTTGGCAATTAAATGTCTGCAAGAAAACCACCAAATTTAAAGAGCACCAAGGACTCCATATACATTCTCTTTCATTACAGGAATCATAGCTGATTACTGCATGTAGTTTAATACAAATACTATTTAGTGATGTAAGCAATGTTGAAGAACTAAATTTATGAACCAAACAATAATAACCATGAAACCAAACATGAGAATACAGTAATGGCATTTTCCCATTTCTTTTCTTTGGCTACAATGAGAAATATTGTATCATCATCATCATCATCTCCAAAAGGTTTATTTTTGTATTATGTTATTCTCTGAAGAAACCCAGAAACAGCCAGATGTTCCTGAATGCTGTCTTCTACGGTAGAACAATAAATTCTTCCCCAAATTTAAAATCATCTATTGTAAAGCTCTGATAAAGGTAAGGAGAATTGGGTGGTAGCCAGATTGATCATGATTTCAGTAAAAAATAAAATAAATAGCTACATTTGTATGGGCAAATACTTGGAAGGCCAAAGTTCAGAAATACATTTGTTTTTATAAATAAATTATCAATATGACAAAAGAGGAAGAGGTTAAGGTAAAGAAGCTTACTTACTGAAGTAATCCATCAGCTGGGCCACCTGCAAGGACATCAGAGACAACTATGGATGTTTCACCATTTTCAAAATGAGGGTTGTCTCTGCCACCGGAAACTGCAATAC